TTACATCAAGAACTTCACAAGCTTTATTATGAATGGAAAGCTGTTTGGGTTTATTGACAAAGATTTGGTACGTATATTCTCCTTGTTTTAGTTTTTGCTTACTCCTGAATATTTCAAATTGTATGAAAACTGTGGTGGCCTCATGGTTAATGTGCTTGCCTCCGGATCGAGCAATCCAGGTTTGAGCCCTGGCCGGGAACATTGTTCTGTGTTCTTGGGCAAGACATTTTACTCTCAGTGCCTCTACTCACCCAGGTGTATTGATGCGTAGCAGTGAATTTAATGCTGGGGTAACCCTGTGATGGGCTAGCATCCCATCCAGGGGGGAGTAGAAATACTCCTAGTTACTTGATGCTACAGAAACTGGGATAAGCTTCAGTCTGATTGGCCACTTGGCTCATATGCAGACCTTACGTACCCATGTGAAAACCATGGGTTCGATTATGTCATTGCTTTGCATAAGGGTGTTGTATGTTGGTACTTTCTTGCTTATACTCCCTGGCCATCACCACAGAATGTGGCTCTGTTATAAAAACAAAATATTGATCACTTTGTCAAGTTTGAGTTGTTCTTTTGACTGATGGAGACATCAGGATTGATTGCAGTCAGATTTAAGATGGTCTTATTCAAATATAGGGGAGGAGTGATCAAGCCGTTTGGGTTCAAGCCCTGGTGGGGGACATTGTGTTGCATTCTTGGGCCAAACACTTTACTTTCACAGTGCCTCTCTCCACCCAGGTGTTCAAATGGGTAGCGGCAACCTTAATGCTGGGGGTAATCCTGCGATGGACTAGCATCCCATCCAGGGGGGAGTAGAAATACTCTTTCAATAGTCGCTTCATGCTATAGAGACTGGGATAAGCTCCGGCCTAATGGGCCACTTGTCTCGTATGCAGACATTAACTTACCTTATTCAAATACATATGTAACACCATAGTTGAAAAGCTAATTTTCTTTTTGTAGGGTCCTCTGGCAGACACTCTCCCAGCTCCATATAGAGATGAAATCAAAGGATTAGCTAGTGCTACCGGCATTCCACTTGGTATAAATATTACTTAGTTTGTTGTGTAGTCATCATTATGGTACCTTTAAAGAAGCACCATTTTTTGTAACATATGTTTTAAAAATGAAAATATCATGTTGATTAATCTAAGTCTAAAAAGCAAATTATGCTACCAACCAGAGACTTCAATCTGCTTACGAAAAAAGGTCAGAAAACAGTTTGT